CCCTGCCCCCGCTCGCGGCCGTGGCTGACAAGTTCCACCAGCACGCGGCGGCCGCGGCCGTAGCCGGGGCGCACGGCGGCCACCCCCACTCGCACCCGCACCCGGCGGCCGCGCCGCCCCCGCCGCCCCCGCCGCAGCGCCTGGCGGCCAGCGTGAGCGGCAGCTTCACCCTCATGCGCGACGAGCGCGCGGCGCTCGCCTCCGTGGGTCACCTCTACGGGCCCTACGGCAAGGAGCTGCCCGCCATGGGGTCGCCGCTCTCGCCGCTGCCCAACGCACTGCCGCCCGCGCTGCACGGCGCCCCTCAGCCGCCGCCGCCGCCGCCGCCGCCGCCGCTGGCCGCCTATGGCGCTCCGGGCCACCTGGCGGGGGACAAGCTGCTGCCGCCCGCCGCCTTCGAGCCTCACGCCGCGCTGCTGGGTCGCGCGGAGGACGCGCTGGCCCGCGGGCTGCCCGGAGGCGGCGGCGGCGGCGGCAGCAGTTCGGGCGCCGGGGGCACCCTCCGGCGGCGGCGGCCCTGCCGCGGGAGGCGGTGGCCCCGGGGCGGGCGCGGCGGCCGAGGAGATCAACACCAAGGAGGTGGCGCAGCGCATCACGGCGGAGCTGAAGCGCTACAGCATCCCGCAGGCCATCTTCGCGCAGCGCATCCTGTGCCGCTCGCAGGGCACGCTCTCCGACCTGCTGCGCAACCCCAAGCCCTGGAGCAAGCTCAAGTCGGGCCGCGAGACCTTCCGCAGGATGTGGAAGTGGCTGCAGGAGCCCGAGTTCCAGCGCATGTCGGCGCTGCGCCTCGCAGGTAGGAGTGCGGCGCGTGCCGCCCGACCCTAGGGGTCCGGCTCGGGGCTCCCCAGCACCAAGCAGTGCGACAGCGGAGAGCCCCAGCTCCATCCCCAGTCTGCGGCCTTGCGCCCCGCCATCCTCTCTGGACCCCCTTGCAGGAGGCTAGAGCGTAATCTGCGCCCCTGCCCGTCAGTTCCGTCAGCAAAAGGGGGAAAAGGATTGTGCCGCCGTCCCTCCCGTAGACTCCCGCCCAGCCCCTCCGGGAACTGGGAGAGGGTCCCTGGACCGTTTTTAGACTGCTGGAGGATCCCCAAGCTGCCAGCAGGTCGCTCATTGTGTGTGTGATGTGTGCTGTGTGTTTTAGGGGGTGGGTGCCCCAGACGCGCCGCCGCTCTCAGCTCGGGGTGCCACTCCCCTCCTCCCAAACGACCCCTCGCTGCGCCTCTAGCCCCGGGGCAGAGCGCCGGGACCGTGCACCGGGTGCCAGAACCTTAGCAGCCAGCCCCCGGCCCCAGCGCGCGCTTCTTTGTAGCTGGGCCTCTGCGATCGATAGCCCCCTCCCCCTCTCCGGCCGCAGGCAAAGGTCACCCGAGAACGGGCGGGGGAGGGGCAGCCCGGGGGACCCTCGGCCCGCGCGGCGCGGAGGCCTTTCCAGCCCAGCCGGCCGCCCGCCCCACGCGTTTGCTCCTGGCTAGGGTGCGCGCACGGCACTGGCCTCTCTTTTGCGTTTTGTGTTTCTCTCGTTTCTACTTCTCTTTCTGTCGGGCGAACTGGGATCTAATTTTTTGCTCTGTCTCCGTTTTCCTCCTGGTCTCATTCTTTCTCCTTCTCTCTGTCCCGCTCCCTCTCTACCTCTCTCTGCCTCTGTCTCCGTGTCTCACTCACACTGATGCTTATCGCCCCCTCGCTCCCTCCTCCCTCCCAGCTGACAACAGCTGGGTCCACACCTGCCCCCAGAGAGCCGGCGGCCAGGACCCCTTCTCCTGGGTGTGCGTGGTGGGGTGCAGGAGAGCCCCCACTGTCACCACGGTGGCCTGGCTTGGGTTGGGGGGAGTCTTTTCCTGGCCACTCTGGGGAGGGGCTGCAGCCGCCCCAGCAGCGGAGACAATAGCGGCCCCGGGCGCCTGATCGATCGCTTCTCTGCGCACAGGGGCGAGTGGGGCTGGATGGAGTGGGCTGGGGCTCAAACCAGGCACCCCGTAAGCAGGGAGGCAGGGAGGGACTTAGCTGTGAAGGGCCGGGCAGGGGGCGCTGGGGAAGAGGGGGTGCCGTTGGGGGATGGAGAGGGGTAGGTGTTCGTTGCTCCCCTCCCCCTAGGCGTCCTGGACAACCTGGGGGACCTGCAGCCACACTCGGGCCTCGGTTGCCCCTTCTACAGAACAAGGTGACTTGCCTGAGCCCCGGATAGGCTTCCTAGATTCTCCACATTGGGGACTAAATCCTCCTTTTATGTGGCAGGTAACCAAGTGCGTGGGAAGGTGGCCGTGAAATGTTAGAAATGGCATCAGGAACCTGGACGGTCTTGTGTAAGGGCAGTACTCACTCCTCATGACACATGCACTGACACAGGTGTGCTCACAGGGGACACTCAGTCACACCAACATGCAGCCACAGCCTGCCGTGTGTGATGCAGGTGATCAGGGAGCAGGCCAAGGGCATGGCTCTGACGCTGTAGGTACTAAGCAGCCCCCAACGAATGGGGTCACTTGTGAGGTTTGACTTATTGCACACTGGCCACCTTCAGCCTCCTCCCCGGCGCATGTATTTTGGGGACATTGTGTCTGACATGTGTGTACTCAAGGGACACACCACTTTCCATTTTTTTCCACCGTCACTGCCATTTAACTAACTGGACCTCTTTGTGATATTTGAGTGGCACACTTCGGGGCCACCCAACAGATTGGCCAGGGCGTCTTAGAATGACAAGCCTCAGGTGAGAAGTCCCTGTGGCGGGTGCCTGCTGTGAGGGATCAGTGCCAGCCAGCAGGGCACCAGCTCTCAGAGTCGGTCTAAGTGCGGGGAGGGCAGGGGAAACTGAGGCCGCGTTTGCATCCCAGCCGGGCCTCCCTGACTTTTGCGGCAGCAGCCAGACGCCTCACCTCTCTGAGCCTCGGTTTCCCCCTTTGAAGTGGGAGTCAGAATAGTGGCCGTCTCAGGGGTACGTGGGGTAAATGGAGAGGATGAGCACAGGACCTGGCACATGCTCAGGTCCAGGCCACACTGAGCCGCGACAACCGGCCTGTCCTCGGCTCCTCCAGGCCGCTGCCTACGCGTGACCCACCCACCCCACTCCACCCCCGTCCGCCTGGTCCGCGCTCCCGGCCCTGGGCCCCCGCCGCACCTCTAGCGCGTTCAGGACCCCGTCCACAGCGCGGGGCTGGCCTTAGGATGTCAGAGGTGGCCGGGCCGGGGTAATTAGGCACCGACCGGCCGAGAGGCCTTTAGTTCCGGTCGCTGCGCAAATGAAAAGCGGTTAAGTGGCGGCAAATCGCAGCGGTTGCGGGGGGGGGGGGGGGGGGGGGGGGGGGGGAGGGTTGGATTGGCATCCCTCCCCAACGCGCCGACCCGCAAGCGACAGCCCAAAGCACCTCCCTGCGCCCAGACCCGCACAGTCCAACCCCGGCAGGGAGTACTCACCTCCGCCCTCCCTCCTCCCCCGCCCCATCCCGGGCCCAGCGAAAGCCGCCCACCTTCCCGGGACCCTGCAGCTCCGCGCCCCAGTCCCACCCCCTCGCGCTGGCCCGCCTCCGGCCTCGCCTCTTGGCCGAGCTGCTCCGGATGTCCCGTCAGGTAGTCCGGTCCTTGCGCTGGACCAGGAGCGAGAAAGACACACGCAGAGACAGAGAGAAAGAGAGATAGGTAAGGAAGGACAGAGAGTGGCAAAAAAAAGAAGAGAGAAAGTCAAAGAGACAGAAAAGGAGAGACTGGAAAGGGGAGTTGAGAGGTCCCAGCGGCTGCCCATCTGCTGGTTTCCACTAGTCTGGATCCTGTCACCCCCCAGCTCCCCCGCCTCTCTCCTTCCCGACTCTGGGGCTGGGGAGGGAAGGGCAGTTTCTTTGTTTCTCTGAAGCACCCAAGAAATCTGGCCAGGTAGACCTGAGGGTCCCCCACTCCGTTGCCCCCAGGCCTGCCTCTTCTTTGTGACTCAGTTTACCCCCCCTGTACAATGTGTGTGCATTGGGGGAGTCTGGCTCTGGGTCTGACATTCTGGGGATGGCCCATCCTGCAGCCCCCCAACCCCACGGCCATGGGGGGGGGGCGGGTCTAGCCCTACTCCACCCCAGGATCCTCAGATTCCCACAGCTTCGGATCCGCCGCCTCTTCGAAGCCCTCCCCGACTCTGTCTCAAACAGTAATTACGGGAGAGGGTCTGGGGGAGGGGCTGGCGGACTCCGCGGGGGCGGGGCGGTCGATGAATTCGAATTACCGTCTCTAATTCATCACCGTCGCCGGGTCGATAACTTCGGCCGTCTTCAAATATTGTTTAAATTGCAACTCCGGAGGAAAAGTATTTTTTGTAACTGATCAGAAAATATATATAAAATATCAGATGGTGGCGATTGAAAGAAGGGCCCTTTCCTCCTCCTTCTCGCCTGCTGATGAGCCCCAGACCCAGAATCCCTAAAGGTTGTGGGAGACCGGCCATGGGGGAAACTGAGGCAGAGAGGGAGCCATTTCCGGAGGTGACAGGGGGTGGGCACGGTGAGGGCAGTTGTCAGGGTTGGCGGTGGCTTTGCAGTGCGGTGGCCAGGGGCCTGGAGTCTGGAAGGGATGGTGATGGAAAGGGGAAAGGCACACCAGCTGCCCGCGCCCCCCCCAGCCAGGCTAGGACAGGCTTTTCCTCCACCCCTCCCCCCATTCTGCAGCCACCATCCCAGACAGGTGTTGAATGGGGGTGGGGGGGTCCTGAGGCTGAAGAGACTCAACCCACAAGGTCCAATTCCGGAGTCCCACTTGGAGGGACACTATCCATCCCCCCGCAAGCACTCTCGACCCCCTCTCCCCTCCCCCCATCCCCCCACGCCCGCAAAGACCAATGTACCTTCAGTAAAACCTGACCTTGATCCACCCACAAGGGTCCACACCTCTTGCAGACCCCTCCAGAAAGCCACCCCAGCAGAGAATTTGGAGACCTGGCCTCACCCGGGCTCTGTCACTGACTGATCTTGGGTGAGGGTCTGAGTCTCAGTTTCCTCATCTGAGAAATGGACAGAATCAGATACCACCTCCTAGGTGTTTGTTGAGGTTTTTCTTATCAACCCCGCCCCCCCCAAAGCCCCTCAGGATGTATTCACAGACCCTGTACCCTGAGGCCACTTTGCTTAATCACCCACTCACACCCACATCTCCTTGTCTTTAGGGAGGACCTGGGTCACCCCTGGCAACCTGTGCTTTGTGGGACCCACAGAGAGTGGGCAGGGGAGCCAGAAGGGGTCTGAGACCTGGAGGGGACACTGCAGGCCTCCTCACGGAAGCAGGGAGTGGGGGGATACTGTCTGGGGCTGTGTGTGCCAGGGCCATGAGGGGCTGTGCATGATGCCTTGGGTCCCCCAAACCAGTCCCTCCTTCTAGACCACAAGACCCAAGTGGGGCGGCACCAGCACCCTGCCCAGGTTCACTGATTCTGGCTTCCAATTCCATGCAGAGAGGGAGGGAGAGGAGAGGGGTAGGTTGTCAGATGGGGAGGGGGCGGGCTGGGATGCCCGAAAACCCTCCCCCTCCCCCTCGGATCACCCACCAGAAAAGAGGGACCTTTTAAGCCAGTTTGGATATTGAGCCCATTTTACAGACCAGCAAGCCAAGGCTGAAAGAAAGGTGCTTGCCAAAGCTTCACACTCAGGGTGACTCAGAGCCTTTAGTAAATGGGGCTTGAGATGCTCAGGCTCCCACCTCCCTCAGAGATGGGGGGACATTCCGGGCAGGTGGCCCAGCAGAGACAAAGGCTGGGAGGGGAGCTCAGTGGACTGAGGCCAGGGACAGGAGGGAGGCTCTCAAGGTCATGCCAAGGTCCAGTTT